CGTTTCTCCGTTTACCTAAGCGAGGGGACTGGGGAGAATGGAGCTACTCCTACTTGTCAAATAGCCTCATACACCCTACCCTGGGACCTCTCGCCGAGCATCCGAGAGCTTCTTGCTGTCAATTTACGCGATAGTACATCTAGACCCACGCCGAATGCAGCAGCCTCCCATCAGCCAACTAATTATTGGAGATGCTGTATGATTTGGATATAGTTATTTTAGTTATAGAATTTTTTCAAGCAGTTTAACTCTACGACACTGCTCGCAGTTATTGTAATATCCCCGACTGGTAGATTTATCCACCGGTACGTGAAAGATCTGATGATTGATGGAACTTGTCATAGAAATGTTACGCTCAAGTAGAAGTGACTAGGTTTGGAATTAAAATTTTATAATTTGAAAATATTACGACGAAAATCTCCCATGTTCAGATGAAGCTTGAATAGAAATATTTAAATGCAATGTCTCTGAAGGTGAGATGAGAGGACAAAGACTGAATATCTGTCCGCGGTGTCCTTGCAAACTTAGGGGTGAAATATTCTCCCAAATCCAAGTTCAGTCAAATTTCGCATTACCGAAGAAGCTGACTAGGAGTATTCAAATTGGTGAGAGCTGTGCGCGCCAAGCTTTCATTTTAGAAAGCGCAGACGATACTATAAATACTACAACCGCTCAACAGTGCGGTAGTACATCATCCGGGCAGATCTACCAGGTATAGTTTGGATAGCTTGGACACATCCCCTAGAGACAGAAATAGCTAGTTTGAGCCCAGCAAGACCCTGCCATATTTCTCGTAGTGCTGATGTCTGTGGGTCAAAAAGTTATGCTTTGATAATCAAAGGTTTTGAATTTTTGTTTCGTTGATACTCATGGAGGAGGATCTTTTGATTATTACAATCGAACGTACCTCATTGTAGTATCTGCGAATTGAACACCTAGGATAAGTTTTTTTGAAGCCAAAATACTCATCCAAAATGTACATATAGAATTTACCATGTGCCGTAGCTAAATAGCTGAATATACGTTTGATGATAAAAAAAAACATATTATTAGAATTTAGAATAATTAGGGCTCTCAAGTAGGCCACGTTGCTGATACACTCGTGACTGCAAATTCTGTACTTCGTTTTACGTCGGTAGTTACTTGAATCAACGCGCCATACAACCTCAATGACTGAAGGGTCATTATTTCCTTGACAAATATAAAAATTAGTGAAATAGGCCTGAGGCATGATAATCGAAGACAGGCAATGATTTTTTAGGCTCTATTAATGTAGAGGTTCATCATCAGCTGTCTAAATATCTAAAGCTTAATCCTTCTAGTAATGATAAAATAAAACTTGAATGTATTCGTGTTTATTTAGCTCTGTGACTAGACAAATTTTTGGTCCTCTCGGCTTTCGGGGTAAATGCATTCAAATCTCAGTCAGTATACTTGTATCCCTCTTTGCCTTCCCCATAGTCTTTACCAATCGCTAATACCCTACAAATTTTCATGCAAGTGTAGATATAGTGACATTCGCACGTAAATTAAAATTACAACAAGTCGACCGAAAAGAGCTGCTCGCGGATCAGAAGCCTCTCAAATTTTTATTCATATTATCACGAAGCCCGGTGACACTTCTTTCATACCGAACCCCCCTTATATCTATGCTTCATCAGCTTAAGGGGATTTATCTGAGATAATGAGAGGATGCCAGGAGATTCTGGATGAAGAGTATTAACAGTGAATTTACCAAGCTTGACTATCTTCAGATACACGTGCATGAGATAATCGTTTAATATTTGCAGGATTGGTATTTATATCTAGTTCAGCTAGGTTGAATGGTGCAGTGGTACACAATTCGGACCTTTCTCCCAAGTAAATTCTGGGTAGGTGTTCAAGCTACCCCATTCGAGACAGGAAAAAGCTGGTTCGCATCCAGTAAAATCCACACACCACTCTCTCTCATCATGATAATGTACTTGTGGGATGATGAAAACAAACTCAGACAGCCATCGGTTTTCATGCTTTTCCCTGTAGTGGGTATGCACGGAGGAGGTTATACGCCGTAAGGGTTAACCTCGAGTGATATCTGCAAATGAAATCTAAGTGCGAGTGTTCTAAACGTCAAATTGAGTCATCCTACTTAATGAGCATATCTTCCGATAAAACCTGCATTGGCCTCAAGGCGCCAAAATAGGAGAATTGAACTATTTGAATTTGATTTCATTATCCTGATTTGGCGCCCTACGGGCCCATGCAGGTGGAAATTTAATTAATTATTTATGTATCTAGTTCAGTTGGATTATGTGATATAGGAATGATGTTTTTGCTGCGTGTGTGTGTGTGTTTAATTGTACTACTTGAGTCTATGACTATCTAGCACATTGGGCTCCTCTCTGACCCAGGCCACACCTTGTACAGTGCTCCTATCCTCTTTTGTTACTTGAAAGATCATTGATATATTACCCTTGATGAATAGCCATTCGGCTCATTGTTTACCCGTGGAATTCAGCCACCTTTTCCACGGAACCTTCTACCCAAAAAAATAAAAATGGTAGCAATGGAAACTGCGTGCGCGGGAGAAAGTCTCAAAAAACCTGCAGTCCCGGCCAGGCGAGGCCTATGAACCGGGACCACATGAGGTGCGCATATTCATCTATATATCCCTTCTCTGTAACAGTCGAGGCCGACTTGATCCAATCCACCATCTCCGTATTGGGTGCTGGGTACGCTCCGGAAACTCATCGGATGGCTTTTCCTCCATGATCAAGGGTTGGTGATAAGTAGGACTCCGATCCTACCATCTGATTTGATCGTGGTTAGCTTCATGATAATAGTGATAGGGGGATATGTTGAGAGATGAAGACGATACAGACCGCAAAAGCGATTGGGAATTCTCTTCGAAGTGAGTACTTTGTTACTCAATCTCGGCTCTGCAGACTCTACTGTGGGAGCTGGAGGTTCGTAGGGGACACCGCTGACAGGTGTTGAGAATAGTCCCCCTTTTTGCTGCGTCGTATTCGATTGTGCGTTTATTTATTTCACTACATAAACTACATACAATCCAGCTGTAGCACCTGATAGGTGTCTATCATCAGTCTAGAATGATACTTTGACTTCAAAGATATTCAAACCCTGAATTTGAACAAGCAATCTCCTGACCCAAGCATGATGGGTATCCCATCCATCAACTCTAATTTAGGGGCCAGCCTGGAAGATGTACCAATGCACTATCTAGCCATGCTGGTTAAACAATGCCACCTGCAATATTACAGACGAAGTTGTTATACGTTCAGTGTTATTCAGTTTAGGAATCTTCTTCCCAAGACTCAAAATTTCACCTTTTTCTACATTTTCTCCAATCTCAACAAATCCTGTCCATCTATCTTGATATTTCTCACGTCCATCCAATTATTTGGTACACAGATTTTTCCACCATGATTTGCCTCTTGCGAGCATTAATGTTTTCGTGGAGATGTACCTGTGGACCAGTTGAAGCTACTAGATCCAAGGGAAGCGTATTCACTAAAAGGAAGATGTATTTGGTCGTACATATAGAATAGATGAGGTTTTTATCAGAATAGGTCTTACTGGAAGCAAAACGCTGATATGATCGAGATCCTTGAATCATTGCATTGTTGGCCAACTTCTTCGGTATTACTGAATTTGGCTTAGGGAAAATGTTCCACTCCCAGATTCGTAGAAGACACCGTGGAACAGTATTCGGTCCTCCTCATTTTGTTGTGATTATTGGGTGCATTTTTGCATGCATAGCTAAATTTACATAAATAAATTTGAAATAGTTTTGATTTGGTTTAGTTTACGTGAAGTGACCAGTTGCATGAGAGCTTGGGGATTATTGAAGGTACTATCTACATGCTCTGATTCGCCCGCTTTACTGCGAAAAAATTTGCATTTTGTGAATAATTAAATAAAAGCCTCAGGCATTCTAGAAGTAGTCGGAGTCCTTAAGCCTGTTAGTAACTTACTGAACTAGATTTGTTATTCATCGAATAGAAGCCAACGACCGTACAAGCAAAACAACAATCTCACTATCGTCATTAGTTTTTAACGAATTCTAATTATATGAAATACCGATGGACAGAAGAGACTCAAACCTCTATCCATCATAAAGCCAAGTTATTGATTTTTAGTTTCTCCACATAAAGTCGTAATAGGTTGCATACGTTATTTTGTAGTGTTAACAGATACCAGCACGCACTGTAATGCTAGCTCCCTATCTTTATCATTTGATCCTGAAGGCTAGGGGAGCGATCATCCCAAAACCCTACTAGAGCGTATGCCCCAGCTTCCTCCGGTAAATCTCAAAGCTGATCTCCAGAGTCGAAATGTGAGTGGGTCGCGGCTGTTAAGTTCTTTCGCCGACAATGCAGGCTTGGCAGAAGGTGCAGGATCTAGCCTACATTCAACAGTTGACGATCTTATTTTGATGTCGCCCTGGACCAAGGAATGTACAGAGCAAGATTAATACATGCGACTTCGTCTTGGGAACTAGCGTACTTACTTGCTTCATCGGAGGCACCAAAATTATCCCATGTGCGGAAAATTTCAGTGCTTATTGAAGATGCGCATTGCAGCACGAAGGTCGTCACATTTCAAATTATAAGTTCTTATTTATCTCAAACGAGCATAATGAAAAGGTGAATTATACAATACGCCTACCGAATACTTTAATGCAATACGATGTCGGGTTACCCACCGGACTCTATCCGGCCCCACTTTAGGATTAGACCCGCATTCCGGTGCACTCAGCCATGTACATGGGTTCAAGTACCTTCTCATGGGTACCATGTTCAAGAGTTGCTTGTGTAGAAACCACCATGAAGTCAAGTGGGCCCCACTTCAATCCAAAGAAGGCGCAATACCTCATTCCCGTGGGCCGATCAAACACCTGTGCCCTGTTTTATAAGTGCAAGCCATAATCCGAAGGCTAACCGCGACTGTGTGACTATAAACACGTCCCTTTCCGTAGGTTTCTGGAGCGTTCGTACGAGATGCAATCCTTCCTCCAATACAGACGGTTAAGGCCATTTGTTCCATCAACACCATCATTCAACTCGTCCAGCGAGAAGAATTCCGGATCCCAGGAAGCTAACTCACCTCAATTTGAGGAGGATGTTGGATCACACGAAGTTAAAGTACCTCAGTATGAGGAAAATGCGTGTATACCAGTAGACTGGGACGGTCCGTCAGATCCATCATGTCCACGAAATTGGTCTCTACGATACAAGATATGGGTTTGTGCTCTCGTGTCGATAAACGTTTTTGCTCTGGACTGGTGCTCAGCAGCTGACTCCCAAGCATCAAAGCAAATGGCACAAGAATTCGGGGTCTCTCGCCGAGTTGAGAATGTTGGGTCTGCACTGTTTGTTTTTGGTATTGCTGGTGGAGCACTATTCGCTGGGCCCATAACCGAAACACTTGGACGAAACCCAGTTTACATTGGTGGAAGGGTTCTACATTTCTTCTTTATCCTTGGAACTGCGCTTGCTCATCATATTGGAATGCAACTTGTGTGCCGACTACTCGCTGGCCTAGGAGCAAGTGCAGTTCTAGCAATTCACGGAGCTAGTATTGCCGATGTATTTGGACAGGAGGGAAGGAGTCTAGCATGGCCATTTGTCGCCCTCTGGAGCTTTCTCGGTGCGTGAAGAATTTGCGTTTCCATCTCAGACAACTGACTACTTTTCAGGCACGACACTTTCTCCGGTGGCAGGCGCATGGATAGTACAGAGCACAAAATTATCATGGCGTTGGGCCGATTGGATTGCTGTTATCATGTCTGGTACTACTCTTATCCTAACGATGGCATGTCTACCGGAAACGTTTACTCCAGTCATACTCAAATGGAAGGCCATCAAACTCCGAAGGGCCACTGGTGATAATAAGTATATGGCGTCCATCGAAACTCAAAAATCTTTCAAGGAACTTCTCAAAGCTAACCTATATCGTGCGGTGATCATGACAACACGAGAGGTAAGCTTTTTACTTACCGCCAGTGCCACTAGAACTATCTATAGAAACTAGAAAAAGAAGCTAAATTTTCACAGTACATTGTAATATTTCTAGGTCTCTGGCTTGTTGTGGTATACATCGTTGTTTTCGGATTCCTCTCGGGTATGGACTTTTTGTTTGCAAAGACGCACTCCTTTTCTTCTGGAATGGTTGGGACATCATTCGTCGCCATCGCTTTTGGTGTTATCGTTAATACAGGCCTCTCTACATTCTATGCGAGGCAATACAAAATTCGTTCCGAACGCTGGGTACGCGAGAAAGGCGCTTCCGCACAGCTGCCTCCTGAGTATCGCATGATTCCATCATTCCCTGTCGCCTTTGGTCTTCCAGTATCTCTCTTTTGGCTGGGATGGACTAATTACCCGAATATCTCTCCTTGGTCAGGTCTCGGTGCCATAGCTCTATTTGGGTTTTCATGGGCAGGCATATACGTATGCGTCTTTCATTATATTTTCGATACCTACAGTATATACGCAGGAAGTGCACTAGCCTCGATCACTTTTGTCCGATACATGTTTGCCGGATCAATACAGATAGTTTCAATTGATATGTGGGATGCCTTAGGTACGCAATGGACTTGTACGCTATTAGGCTGTATAGCCTCTCTACTGGTCCCAATTCCATTTATCTTATGGGTTTGGGGGGAGCGTATAAGAAAAATTAGCAAGTTTGCGGGTCAAAACGCACTTGAGAAATCGCAGGAGCCTGCAAACACCACAACAGTTTGAAAGCAACCTGATTTTAACAGCTACGGAATACTTACAACTTAAAACACATTCTTGGGTTAATAATTCAAATTTGTGATTTTGGTATTTCTGTCATACCAGTGGTCTGCAACAAATCATTACCCAAAACTGGCATTTCACTACAAGATAAAACTTATTCAGGATGGCAGATCTGCACAACCTCAAAAGTCAAGACTTCACGCACGAAGATCCTTGGCTTATTTTTCCAACAAAATAGCAGTGAAACACTAGGCTAGTTTTTTATGTAGTTGGAACCAAGTCAATCATGAAAACGTTTAAGTCTACGGAGCCATGCAGCATCATGTGAATCGGTCCAACGGATAGGGAGTTAGACGGTGAAAACATGTCGAGAATCGAACATGTGATTCTTAAAATAACGAGGGATCCGGAATTGGGGTTTAGTCACGTTTGACACTGTTGAGTAATTGGAGCGGTAGCTTAGTGGTTATTAGATAACATATGTTTATCAAAATCATACTCTCGTACTGAAGATCTACCCAGCTATAAGGCATCGTACGATTCATTGAAACATTTAAGTAAACAACCTCATTGTAAGAGATGTTGGTAAGGCTGTTCTAAGTTGATTAAAAATGATACTCCACAGCTATGAATTTTAATTTTATAAAATCTCCAGGTTGTAAAACCTTGTACAGGCGATATTCAAAAAGAATCTGCGCATTAGTGAAATCACAAGAACAACATTGTCGAAACGTGCTGGGGAAAGGGCTGATGTCAATCATCTTCTATTGGTGCAGAAGTAGTGCGCCCATCCGGTCTCGTATGCGACGGGGAATTGATGTCACGGATGGCGGATGGAATGGAATTTATTTTTCTGTGTGCAGGGATAAGAGTTGGCGGCGAGTGGATGAGGATCCTTTCCGTTTCAGCTCTAATGATCTGCGAAAAGGAAGCGAGCACATAGTATATGTACGATCCGAGATAATGCTTCGCTCATGTGGGGTAATCAGATGCTGCGTCTTTGCGGCCATTATCAAGGTGATTGTACAGTTTCCAAGTGAGAAAAATATCAGCAACATCCTCAGAGGCCGGAGTCTCGGAAGCTCGTTGGCTCGGAATCGACGCTTCCGTGGTTAACGGGACAGTAAGGATGGACTTTGGTCCGCCAAGACACGACTTTGCACCACATCATGTTGGTGCATGAGGGTCATGCGACATAGTTGCTTTACACTAATGCGATTCGGGGAGTTACCTTTGGCCACTTGATTGCGGTCCAAGAGGGAGTATAGAGCCTACGGGCCATTTGACTTGGAGATGCCCGGCTTTCAGTGACTTGTGGGAGGGTCGGGATCGAATGGGTACAGTAATTTCTTAGGAGGGCAAGACTGAATACCTGTACGCGGTGTCCTCTACGAACCTGGGAATGAAATATTCTCTCAGAGCCAAGTTCAGCCAAATTTCGCAATATCAGAGAAGTTGGCCCACGAGGCAAAAATTTCAATTACTCCACCACGTCGCTTTTTCGCTCCCAACGAGTTTAACACCTACCTAGGTCTCATCAAGTCTTCAAGTACGACCTGTACATCCTCGCTCCAATTATCATACCTCTTTTCTTTGAGATGGACGTGAGAGGGATCAGGAGAAGTTCACAAAATGATGCAGAGAATGGATACAGTCTCGACAGGCGTTAAATTTTGTAAGGGGTTTTTACAAATTGAGTTTTGTACATGCCAAGGCTTCGCTTGCGAGAGTGCAGGCGACACTATAAAAACCGCCATAATTGTACGGTGCAGTGGTATATCGTCTTGGCCGGTCTGCTAAGTAGAGTCTGGATAGCTTGGACACATATCCCACTCGAGACAGTAGATCGCTGGTTCAAATCCGGCAAAACACAACCACATTTCTCGCGGCGCTGGTATACGTGGATGACGAAGGTATGCTTGGATAACCAAAGGGGTTGAAGTTCCCTTTGGTGAGTACTTACAGAGGAGGGTCGACTGTTTGTGTAAGCGAACATACCTCATAGTGGTATTTGCAAATGAAATCCAGAGTATAAGTATCTACAACGTCAAAAGAGTCATCCAAAATGTATACATAGCACCGGTCATATGTCATAGCTTTGTAGCTGCATACATATTAAATGATTTGGATAAAATTTTGTTTCCTAGAATAAATAGCCTTGGCTTACCGGCGAGGCTAAGGAACTTATCTCACATACCCTAGCTGTAGTAAACGTTGCGTCTGGCTGACGACTTTGGCGAAATTAGGTCTCGAAGAAGATGGAAGATACGGTAGAGTATCCGACCCCCGGAGGCCCGAATTTGATCGTCACTGGCGCAGATCGTTTCCCTCTTTTCTCGGGCCCGTCAATATTCTGAGCTACGCGGATCCGTTACGCTCGGACCATAAAATGCCAAGCAAATTATGCGATGGCGCTTGGCTATTTGGGCCTTCCATCAATCTGGTCATTTTCAGTGGTAGACTCCGATGATGAGACAGGGGATAATGGCGGACATTCTGATGCCCTTGGTAGCGAGGGTCCAGAGGGGAATTTCCTGCCCAGACCTTCCCCTCGCTTCCCGCCGGCGATCAATGAGACCCACAAACTGTCGATGCCCTACGAACGTCACGGCGAACAAGTCCAGGACATCACACGATCAATCGAGAGTCCGGCCCCCCAGATATCGTGGGGGCGCATGCAATGGTAATGAGATTGATGAAGCGTGGGTTTGGAGCGCGTCGAAGTCGAAATAAATTGATATCTTCGAATCGCTCGATCCACAATCTCTTCATCCAGCATGTGTCAGCTGAAGACGATGGTGGGCTACAAATGCTCGAGCATCCGCTTGCCATCTGCTACGCTCAGATGCTTCTATTTCGTCATTCGACGGATATTCCCGTCTTTGAGACTCCCTTAGTTTTTTTACAATCGTCTATTGTTGGCATCCGGTGCATCTATCAACTGACTGATTTGTAGATAATGATATGCTTGTTTTGGGATTCATTTTGGCTAACACTACCGCAAAGTCTGTTAGCTCCTCTCAAACAGTCAAGCTCAATGGGTGAGTTGGGGAAGTTTGAAATTCTTTGGCTACCCAAGCATACTTCGTCATACTACACACAAACTCCCTAGCTTTGCCTCAAGTAGGATAAATGCCCAAAATATCGAATGTACGGCGAGTCCAACCGCGATTATGCTCGTATACATGCATCTCATACCATGGTCATCTGCCAATGGGAATTATTGCCTCACTGGTCAGCCGCGGGTCTGTTTAAGGAGATATGAAATATCTAGGACCAGTCGCCCATTTAACATGCATGACCGTTGCAAGGTTGTGCTTCAACTGAGATACTAATTCCTGACGCCTTGATGAGCTGCAGGTCAATCTCATACTGCTTGGCCTGCGGCTGCAAGGACCACACTAACAACGACGGCGAGATCCCGGAGAGTTTGATCCCTAGCCCATGACTTCGCTCGTGGACTTCTTTTAAGGTGCTAAAGTGGTTGAAGGTTAATGAGCCTCATTGTTCCACTAAGCCTCATGTCTAAGCCTTGCGGAATACCCCACGGGGAGGAGACGTCGAGAAGAATGTTTGGAGGTTGGCCGTGTCACAGACGATGGAGTCGACCTCTACCATCGAAGATCAAACTACCTCGGTTAGAACCTCAGGCATGCATAGCAACTAGTCATCCAGCGTCTGCAAAGATCGAAATTTCGAGTCACTTGCTGCAAACTTCGGTATCGCAGCAGCCTACTTCCCAGATGTGTACTCCACATAGTTGGGTGTGTCGATTGAGATGATGCGCGGCGAACCATGGTGCCTGACTCCAGTCTTCTGTAGTGAGGGGCGGAACTGGCGCAAGACGACCTGACCCTCTTGGCATGGCACATCAATGTAAACAAGCTCAGCATCTACCATGGCGCTATCACCAACACTAGAAGCAAGTAATCTGTTCTAGGCTGCTGGCATAGACAATGTAGATCGTAGTCTGACCTTGATCCTCGACCAGGATTTGACGAGCCGTCTCCTACGCAAATGTAAAACTGCCTTTGTCCAGCGTCAACGCCTGGTACTCGTGACATCCATCTCTTCTGCTACTCGCACCTCATTAGCGTAGCAGCTGGCTTCAATCGGCTTGATTTGCGAGACGCTGTCGACCTGCTTGATCAAAGTGCGGATGTTGCGCTTCAGTTTGAGTTCGGTGAGTGGCGGGAACACTGGACGCACGTGTGCGCAATTCAACGACTTTCGTCTCTGCCATGCGCCCGTGCTTATGCCCCCGTCACGCAGCGTGCTTCCACTCTGTACCCTAATGCCGGCGCTGCTTCCACCGTGCCTCGCAGTCAGCAGTTTGCTTCGTGAGCTGTTCCCGTCGCCCCCTTTCCCTGGGTCCGGCCTCGTTGGCCAGGAAAAGAAATCTTGGGAGGGCGAAGTCCTTGTCATGGTCTCTGGCGACGAGCAATAGTCAAGTCAATCACGGTCTAGTCATGTACCAGCGGAGTTGGGCCCCAACTATGCAGCCAAGGGGTATATGGATATCATAGTGTGTTTTCCTCATATCGCATCGCCTAGAATCGGACAAGCCCAGAGCAACTCTGGTGCATGGGCGCTGTAAAGGAGGTAGAGTGAGAATTACAGCCTGAGGCAAGAATACCCTGGCCCTCTAGCCCTAGACTGGACTTGGTCGTCGGGCACCCGTGGCTGGTACATCCGTGCTTCCTGCTCACCCTTAGACATGGCTTGGCATGACGTGCGTGGCGGCAAGATCGGGAAGTCTAGCGGAATGATGTGGACCGAGAGCTACAACTGCACTCTTCTGCCACTCCAAATAGTGGGCGTGAATCAAAGAGACGTTACTTCATGCCTCCGATTGACTTCAACTGCTGAGAAACACAGTCGGAATTGTCCTGCATCCGCATACACGCCAGCCTGAGAGGATCCAGGAGGATGTTTATCGGCCTCGAGCTAAACTATTCTGCTCACAGGCTCAACTTCACCGCTCTACAGTCTGCCATATGCCGGTGCTTCATCGCTAAGTCTCTCGCCGGTATGCGGCGACGAGGCAGAGCAGTGAGAAGGGCTGCACAGCTAGTCGGCACGCAGCCGGCATATGCATACATCGGGTGGGAAGACCCATGTCGTCGTGGCAGAGGCCGATACCGCTTTCGGCCACTTCTTAGCCGCTCGCAAGTCACTTGTGATGGCTGCATGTTGAACGACCCTCCTCGCCCGTGCGAAGTCTGGCTATCCTTCCCACGTCTCCTTGGCTCGCGAATCACCATCGGGCGCATGACTTCACCAGGTGCCTCAGCCTGCATTTGTTGTGTTTACTAGTTGTGCCAGGACTGAAGGGTGGACGAGAGAGAGCATGAATACGTTGGCCCTGCCTCCCGACCAGTAGGTAGAAAGGACCTACATGTCCTCACATATTCATAGACTTCCTAGGACAATAGACACATACATATACGTTGGCCCTGCTTTGATAGGAGTCCATCTCGAGATTTTAGCCTGTTCCTTGATGTGCCTGATAATAAACATCCGTCGCACTCCCACTGGAGCGGAGCACGAGTGGGGTAGGACCGGATCCGGCGAACTACGGCAGAAAAAACAATACCTATGTCTTATGTAAAAATACACACACACAACATACAGTACCTCGTCCAATCTAAATCATCGACCTAGTGCAACATTTAGTCTGATCGTCGATGGGGGACTATTCTCACCACCTGTTAGTGGTGTCCCCTACGAACCTCCAGCTCTCACTGTAGAGTCTACAGAGCCAAGATTGAGTAACAAAGTACTCACTCTGACGAGGATTCCCAATCGCTTTCGCGGTCTGTATCGTCTTCATCTCTCATCACATTCCCCTATCACCATTTTCATGAAGCTAACCACGATCAGATTAGATGGTAGGATCGGAGTCCTACTTATCACCAACCCTTGATCATGGAGGAAAAGCCATCCGATGAGTTTCCGGAGCGTACCCAGCACCCAATACGGAGATGGTGGATTGGATCAAGTCGGCCTCGACTTTTACAAAGAAGGGAGATATAGATGAATATGCGCACCTCATGTGGTCCCGGTGTCTAGGCCTCGTCTGGCTGGGGCTGCAGGTTGTTTCAGACCTTCTCCCGCGCACGCAGTTTCTATTGCCACAATTTGTATTTTCTTGGGTTGAGGGTACTGTGGAAAAAGTGGCTGAATAGCTATCATCACGGGCAGTATACCAATAATCTTACAAGTAACAAAAGAGGATTGGAGCACTGTACAAGGTGTGGTCTGGGCCAGAGAGGAGCCCAATGTACTAGATAGTCTAATACTCAAGTAGTAAAATGAGTATATCTCTCTCTTCCGTGGTATATCAACTTCGCCCGATCAAAATCAATTTTTTTAAATAAATCGTGCCAATATTCATTGAGCCTCCCGACACACCAAACTCATAGTGATTTTCAGGCACAAGCACACTCAGTCAAGACTCTTCTTACATTTCAATATGACCTTCAGCAAAGGGTTGATGGGAGGCAAAAAGGCAGAGTGTGAATTTCACGAGGTACTGACAAGTTTGCTGCGCCCGGCTGGTCGGCGTCTTCGTCATAGTAGAGCCCCGCACCCAGTGGTTTCTGAGACTTTTTTCCTGCGGCCACACATCCACAAATGGCCATCGTTTTTTGGGCTAGAGGGGGGAGATAATGAAGGGTTGACGGCTTCTCTCAGTGTGTACTCGAATGAAGATCTGTGGAGGTATTACTGCTGGCAAGAAGTTGTGAAGAAGGCATAGGTACTCCCGGTATGTAGGCAGATAAGACCTGCACGTCCTTACATATTCATAGACTCGTTAGGGTAATAAACACTCAATAAAAATAAGATAGGACAATAATCTAACCGAAAAAGGGGTTAGGCGTGGCGTGATGCAAGGATCCAAGGCTAGATAGCCAGTCTTGAAGACTTTCTCTCGAATTCGTATCAATGTTACAAAGAGATAACAACAACAGTTACATTTCCGTTGAATCACTCGATCAAGTGCAATAACATAACGTGCGAAACCTAGACCATCGTATCTAACCTTTATGATCAGCAATTTGTTGATCGTTCAAGTCTTAATGATGTGACACTATGTTGTAAGGACTGGTATCTAGACAATATCATATGAGAGAAGGTACATCCCTCAAGTTCTATGGTCCAAAATTCAAAGGCCAAAGTTTATTTCTACTAAAGACTTAGTACCAAAGGTTGAAGGTTTAAGCTTGGAGGTAGGCATAAAGGAACAGGTATTCCGCTCTGCTCAACCATGAAGTTCAATCTTATTTATCTTTGAGAAGAGAAGAAGTATCACTTAAATTAACCAAGAAAGACGAGTGTGCATTTTCCAATGATTCCGAGAATGCTCCCCGGAAATATCTGCTGAAAAATCTTTTCCCAGCTTCAGTGGGCCATGATATAGCTACTTCATTTCTTGCAAGGGAAAGAGGATAAAAGAAATTCTGGCGAGCTTGGTCGAGAAGCATGGTAGCTAAGCCCTGACGCTGATACCCCTCATGCACCCAAATCCGCTCCACACTCATGTACACTTTTTGTTTGGTACATTTAGATGGATATCCTTTCGCTCTTTCAATGTATAGATCCTGCTTTGAGGGATTATCGCCCTCCATATATTTACTAATCTCATGTTCGTGGACTCCATATCCAATTCGCTCAGCAAGGAGTAGAGCGGCGAGTTTATTGTCATGAAACATCGTGTAGAGCTTGAAGCGAAAGACCTTGAGTGGATCGCATGGATCATGGGGATTACTTGTGAGCTCCCATAGAACTTCGGGGTCTATTTGCTCCATTTCCAACCCGTTGTCAGAAGAGAACTGTAGGGCCTTCTCTCCAAATTTCCGAAGTGAAGCATCAGTATTCCGATTGAGTACTTGGATGCAAAGCCTTTTACCTTGGAATTCTTGTCCATAAATTGTCGCCTTTTCGCACTTAATAAGAGGATTGAACTCCATTATAGATCTTTTATGATAGAGTTCGTGAGACTTTTTCTCCCAAAAAGCATAAACCATGCCACATATCTTGCATTGTGTGAAATCTTTTCCTAGTTTCAAAACTCTTTGTCGGGTCGGCCTTGAGTGCGGTATGGGTTTTCCTGAGGATTTACTAGGTTGTACTTGCCTCTCTGGCACAGCAAACTTTAATCTTCGCTTTCTCTGTATTGTAGCAGAAACCTGAGGTAAGCTGTCTAGTTTCGCTTCTTCAGAGAATTTTGGAATTGAATCAATAGGTTCGAAAAAGCTTCGGATATCGGCCCGTATTTCTTTCTCAGGAATAGTAGACGTTAATACTCTCTTACTTGAAGATACCATTCCAGAATTTACCATTGAACTGTTAGGTGTTCCTTCAGCACTTGCTTTTATTTTAGTTGGCTCGTCAGGAATTACTGATTTGCGCCTGGAGTAGGTTTTTTGGTGCATTCTAAGCTTCCTCAGAAACATAAACTAAAGAGTTATTGGAGGACATTACCGACGCACTCGGGTTTCAAACATTTTGCAATTTCTTGATGCCCTTGAATATTAATTATGCTGCTATTTTTCAATTAATATTGATCTTTTGCACCGAACCTAGTTTTCGATTGATCTCAAATGAGTATGAGAGGCGCGCATTACCTAGCGCGACAAAGCACTAACGCCCTTCATTGTGCGCGACCGCGTCCAGTTAGTCATAAAGGTGTAATCAGTCGCACCTAACGACAATGAATCCCAACTCAACTTATTGAGAAGAATTGAAAAAGATAAACGCCGCTCAGTGGTGATTCCAAATCTTCGCTTTACTCTTACTGTTTGAAAGCCAATGTCAAGTCGCAATAATTCAGGCACCCCTTATTGATGAACCTACAGCACTCTCCGGAACCTAAGCCCGAATATTGTTGGAACTATCTAATCTAAAGTTTTAAAATTCGAATTCCGATTTGTCCCGAAGCGTGGATACGAGAAGGACCTCAAAAGTGGTCGGGAAGATAGAGAGAGAGCGTTTATTGTACTACTTGAGTCAATGTCTATATAGAACATCGGGCTCCTCGCTGACTCAGGCCACACCTCGCACAGTGCTCTTATCCGCTTTTGTTTTGAAAAAGATTAGTTATTTATTCCCCGAGGTGGATGGTCATTTAATTCGGGAATTAACAGTAGCATTCAGTATCATTTTCACGAACTACTCTACCCAAAAAAAAGTAGTGATGGAAATCACGTGCGCGAGAAAAATCCTTGAAAACTCTACAGCCACAGCCTGACAAGAGCTAGAAAACGGGACTGCATGTGGTCCGCATTTCAATCTACATGTCCCTATTTTTTAAAACTAGGGGTAAACTTGATACGATCAACCATGCCCGCATCGGGTGCTAAGTGTGCACCGGAATCACATCGGATTGCTTTTCTTCCATGATCAAGAAAAGAAAAGTGAGTGGATAACGAGTAGGGCTCCGACACTACCATCTGATCTGATGGTGGTTAGCTTAATGATAATGGTGTCAGGGAGTTGTGCTTGGAAATCAAGACGATAAAGAACGCAAAAGCGGTTGGGAATCCTCATCGAAGTGAGGACATTGTTAATTAAACTCGGCTCTGCAGACTCTACAATGAAAGCTGGAGGCTATTAGGGGACACTACTGATAGGTGTTGGGAAAGGTCATCCGAGGGTAGAAAGAGATTATCAGACAAACATTATTTCGCAGAGCCCTGCCAAATATTGTCTCCAAAAGCTTCAGGAAAATAGCTAGACCTATAGATTCAGTCCTGATACTAATATTAGGGCAGCTCTGTACTTGACGACTTTAGTAGTTTCTCATATTGGTCATATACCCACAAGTGGTCTCCGTCTCATGGATTGAAAGGGGCCAATAGTGAATGAGAAAATGGAACTCCAAGATTTATGTATGACTAACTTGTTTGCGGTGTTGCTGTCTCATCGGATAAATAAAGTAGGTAGAGGAGAGAATAGCTTAAACGACTTGATTTTGATTAAATTTAACGTCGTGCCTGTCCTCAGCTCGTGACCAATATCATGTACTGGACGGCCCAGTCCTTGTAGAACTACCCGACGCTAAATAACATGAAAAAATAAAAAAGAACTATCCGACGCTCTAGCGCGCACTACAGCACCTAGAAAATACAAAAGGGTCCGATCAGCTATCCACCACACACACATTTTCAACGACACTTTTGACTGCCTAACCTACACAGTCCTTGACTCAACCACACGCAATCCATTACATCGCATTCTACCTACGACATTTTACTGACAAATTCATCTCTCAATCACCCATGCCGCCCCAGTCCTCCGCAGAGGCTGGCCCCTGGCCCCCCCTCCCCACTCAATGTTCGACGCGTCAAGACGTCGAAATGGTCCTTAACGGGCCACAACCGCCATCACAACCACCCACCCAACAATTTGTAGAGCCAATCTACGAGGCGAGTCATCGAAGCTCGCCCCACCAACAAACTCCGTCGCCTCAAATTGTCGCGACCGAATTCCTCGCCGAACAGGGCAGGATATTCCAGACGCGCTCTGCACAAGCAGAGCGTCTCTTCATCGGGTTCTGCAAGCTGTTGGAACCAGTCACTGACGAGAGACTTCGAAAACTCTTTGATCAGGACTTACTGGCCCTTCAGGGCAAGATACTGGAAATTCTATGGGGCAACCTATCTCAAGCAGACGCCAACGCTCCCCCAAAGGCTGCAAGCGGCCATACTAACACATCTAGCCCGGCTCAAGTCACAGAGCCTCCAAAACAAAGTCCTGCAAGCGTCACACGTCCAGTGCTGATCCTTGCCAGAGAAAAGAATAGACCGGCACCACAAAGGCCGGTAGCCACAACCGCAACTCTCCAGCCCAACCAGGGCTCAAACAAAACCAACAAAAACGCTACAGAGAAATCTTGGACCGAGGTGTCGGGAAAAAGAAACAAGCCAGCAAACCAAGCGGCTCCAACGTCTACGCCCAAGACAGTACTGATGAGGCCTGTCCTCACGCTGAAGTCTAAAGCTCTAGCAACAAACCCCAACGAGCTGACGAGCGCATATTCTTGCGCCTCAGACCTGACCACTCGTGGAGACGTATGTCACCCCACTTCGTAGAGATTAGCCTAGCTAGCAAGCTGCGTCTGGCCAACTCGACAATCAAACAGGTCACTGTCGTGAACTCAGGGTTCGTAATACAAGCCGAAGGGGAAGGAGCTAGAGGTGCACTTCTCTCAGGAGGAGCCATATTAGATAGCTCAGAAATGAAATTGGAAGCCGCCTCCAACTGGATATCAGTCCTGGCACCGAATATCCCAGACAAGCTTTACACTCTGGAAGGGCCCACCATAGTGACACCAGAGATGGTAATAGAAGAAGCAGCTCTCAAAACAGGAGTTAGACCAACCTCAGCTCGTGCTTTCGCTACTAGCATGGCCAGGCCGTCAACGGACTGGGTGTTGCACTTCGCAACAGGAAAACCGAAACTTGGAGAAAGACTGTTTGAAGAAAGCGGGCGCCTTCACGAACTCCAGCGCAAGCTCAAAATTGCGCAATGCAACCGATGCTGGGGACACCACCCAACTAAAATTTGTTCACGAGCAGAGCGCTGCACCCGCTGTGGCTCAATTGAGCACAAAGCTACTGAGTCCAAACAGGCCGTTCCAAGGTGCATCAATTGCCACGGGCCACATGCTGTAACTGAGCCTAACTGTATGGCTAGGCCGACACGGGCTGGTGGGAAGACGGTGCAACGCACAAGGGACCAGCTGTCGGTGATCAGCGAGCAGGGTCAAAAAGAAAGGAATGCTTCGATCAGAGAGATGGAAGCAAAGCAGAAAGCCACCGAGGCTACTGCTGAAAACGAAAATACAAACGTTGCTCAATGCCCGTAAGGGACCACAACCCAACCGAGCTTCAAAAAACGGCAACAACTATCTCGTTCCTCTGCGCTAATCTGGGCAGAGGAGACCCGGCTACGGACATCATCCTGCAATCCGCTTGGGATTCAGGAACCGATGTCCTACTTATCCGGGAACCCTGGACTCAACACAAGGACGGCTTCTGGCTCACCAAGTCGCATCCCGGATTTGATAGGCATTTGCCTCCCCGTGTCGCTGCTAACTCTTCAAGGCCACGCTCCCTCATCTACACGCGAAAAGGGATCCATTGCCAACAGTAAGCAATCTGCGAGACATCACCAGATCTCACTGTAGTAAAGGTAGAAGGAGTCACATTTGTCTCCGTATACCGCGCTCCTGGAGCAGACCTTTTGCCGCTGCTATCATGGGCTCCATCTGGGCCTACAGCTATTGGCGGAGACTTCAATGCTGTTCACACCGACTGGCAGCCAATGGCCACTAGGCTACACGGTGACGGCCAGGTGCTCACCGAGTGGATGTTCGAGCACGGTATGGACCTATCTTCCACACCGGGCGTCCCGACACACGACTTTGGAAACACACTCGACCTGGTCTGGTCTAAAGCTGGTGCCCTTGCAGATGTCTCGACAGAGCTTGACTCAACATCGGACCACAGAACGCTTGCAGGAGACGTTCCCCGTCCAAACTCGAAAGCCAGAGCTATAATCAAAACTGGTCAACCTTTCCGAGTGACAGACGACGCCCTCGAAGACTTTGCTAAGGTGCTTGGTAGATGGGCTCATGGAATAGGGCTACAGCCAATGGACTCAATAAGCGCGGTAGACAAACTCGCTGATAAGCTGGTCCAAACCATTAGCGATGCAATTAGGGCTACCGGAAGATGCGGGAGTGTGAAGAAGGGTAGGATGGCACCTTGGTGGACGATAGAGTGCGCACAAGCCAAACGCGAATACAGGATATTCAGGGACGAAGAGAGCAGAAAGGATTTCCGTCGCATAGTCAGAAGTGCGAAACGCCAGTACTGGCGGCAGAAATTCTCCGAAGCCACAACTGACGTCGACATGTATCGGATGGCACTTTGGGCTAAGCCGCAACCTACATCTGCCGCTCCGCCACTCCAAACTCCGGATGGTTTTGTTTCGGATCCAGGAAAGCGTGCACTTCTATTGCGCGATCTCCTTCTCGGCCGGTTCACCAGCCAAAACGACGTGGACACCGAACACCTCGAGCCAGGACGCGGAAACCTTCCATGGGTCTCAAGCGTCACTGATGAAGAAGCCAAGTGGGTCACAACGGCCTGCCAGAATAAAGTCCCTGGAGCAGACGCAATTTCTGTTCGTCTTCTTAGGACAGCCTGGCCGTCAATTGGACAAGCAGTGAGAGTACTCTTTGAGGGCTCACTTCGACTGAACCACTTCCCGAAGGCATTCAAGCTAGCGGAAGTAATTCTTCTCCCTAAACTTGGCCGTAATCTCAGTACAGCTAAAGGATGGAGACCTATCGCACTGCAATCCTCTCTCGTCAAAGGTCTTGAGAGACTAGTCGCAAGGCGCATGGCTTACACCGCCATTTCGAACAAGGTCGTGCCGCAGCAGCTTT